AGTTCTCCTTCCCATGCTGGCGTAGACGCCTGATTGCCAGGTCAGCATATAAGGAGCTCTTCCACATCCGATCATCTTCCCCTACCACTAAGAGAAAGTGTCCTTCTGCTTTTTCAATGGGGATCGTGCAAGGAGAATTAGCAGGATTGGTTGGGTCATCCAGAGCTTCAAAAACATCAAATACACCAGCGTCAGAGACACTGACCTTGTTCATATCAAAACGCAGCCCAGGCAGAGTCATATCACCGTAATGGAGGTCTGCAACTGTGTTTGAACTACAGCCAGAGATAGAGACAGCAGCCACGACTTCTGGCAGGAAGGTGATCATGGAGAGTGCTAATTCTGCCCCTTTTCCAGTCCCAATCACTCCAACTCCTGGTCCTTTCACCTTCAGATAAGATAGGGGGTGGAGAAGAGAGGAAGAAAAGAATAAAGGAAGTATGCATTACAATGGGATTAGCCATTAAGTGACTTTGGAGTTGTGTTACTAAAAAAGGGAAAGGTTAGGTTAATTATTGATGTGACCTGCTGGAAAGCTACAGCCTGGGCCCAAGCTCCTCTGTCTGTTTACTGTCTTATTTTTCAGAGACACCAAGAGCTGTCAAACCCCACAGAAAATCTCAAAGGCAGGCACAAGATGTACCATCACTTGATCCTCACCTGGGCCCTACTGCATCTGTTGACACAAAATTTTTCTCTTTTTCCCAAAACAGGTAGCAGGAAATTCAAGCACATGTGTGTCTCAGGCAAATAAAGTAACCATACAAATTGCTTTTGAAGGATGAGGTAAGTAGCATTTAATCTTGTCTTTTTCTAGCCTGGAAAGTAAAACTGAAAGCAGCATCCCAAATCATTGACTCCATTATTTCAATGACTGTTGAGCAGTTTTGTATCATCCTCCCTAAGCTAACAGCTTTTATTAAAAAAAAAATTACCACCACTGCTCCTGTTTGGAGGACATTCCAGCACTTCACTACCCTAATGATCAGCAGTGTTTTAGTTTCTAGCATGAATTTATTAACCAGACAGTTTGTGCTGGAATAAATTCACTCTCAAAGTCATATGCATAGCCACCTATGCAGGGTCTACAATTTTCCCACTATTGTGCCTAAACCTGCCCAGCAGAAACTGATACTCCAAAAAAGAAAAAAAAAAAAAAAAAAAAAAAAAAAAAAAAAAAAAAAAAAAAAAAAAAAAAAAAAAAAAAAAAAAAAAAAAAAAAAAAAAAAAAAAAAAAAAAAAAAAAAAAAAAAAAAAAAAAAAAGTCACCACCACTACTTGGGCGTGACTGCTGAATCCTCCCTTCTCCCAAGAGATCTCTCATTACACTCACTTTTGGGTGACGCTGCAGGAATCTAGCTGCCTCCTCAAAGTACTCCAGTTTGAGTTCTTTCATGACCTTAGGAAGATCTTCAAAGTCAAAATATGGCAGAGAAAGAGCAGCAAAACCACGGGTAGCCAGGAGACTGGATCTAAGTTCAATCAAGCCTCCTTCGTCACCATACATGTCAATCACTCCTGGAAAGGGGCCATCCCCTATATTAAAAAGAAGTGGTACAGAGGACAAGTTAACAAACAGGACACTAAAAACTATCTGGTGAAGAGTGAACAACAAAATATAGAATGCTTAAGACATTTGCTATTAATGCTCATTACTTTTCCATTTGCACAGCAGAGATTAAGAGAACCAGCGCTGTATCCCATTTCAGCTATTTCAAACTAAGAATAGGTCCTTAAATGCCTGCAAAAATATGTGAAGTTAGACTTTTTTTCTTTAAAAAAAAAACCCAGAACAACTGTTCTAAATGTATTTTTCAATGGTCTTAACCTCCTGCCTTCAGAACAATCATACCCTAAGTCTGCTATTTTCCCCACAAATATGTCACATCTTAATTAACAAAGTGCAAGCCCACGAATAATGAGCAAAGAGCACTAATCCCTCAAAGTCAATTCTACAAAACTTACATAAACTCCAGAATAAACTGCATTGAGCAAAGCACAGCAAAGAGACACCCACTGCTAAACAAAACCAACCGGACTTACTAGCTCTATCTCAACATCAGCACTGTAACACTTGGTAGGAGAACTGCTACTGCAGATGTGACAAGACAGAGGGTAAAACTGAGAGCTGTATGGGTGTGGTTACGCGTGCATGACTGATATACAGATAAAGGTACACATACGTGTGTACAATTTGTCCCACAAAACTACAGAAATAATCAGAACTGCAGTTTTAAACAGCCATGTGTTTACAGCCAAGGTTGTGTTGTACCATGTTTGTATGCCAAGCCAGCAGATCTTAGGTTAAAAGGCTAAGGATACTACCTTGTGAAGTTATAAAGACCCCAAGCAAGCAATTTTTTTTTCTTTTTCCCTGACCACGAGATGTCACCTCTGATGTACCTGGATCCAGCTTGCTACAACCATCTCACAAAAAGGACCCGCTTGTGCGAGAGAGTGCGAACTCTCTGACATTACCTGTATGCACTAAAGAAAAGATCTCTGACTTAGACACACTTGAGAAAAGGAAGTTTTGGACAAGACATGCTAGATGGTGGAAACCTCCTAAATCAAACCATTAGGAAGTCAGAAAGGGAATGAACCATGCTTTTGGGTTCTCTCTCTTTCAGTTACGATCTTTTTTTTCACAGAAGTTCAATACTCTTGAGAGAAAATATATTGGGATAAATTTATCATAATGCCATGATCAACAGTAACCTTTGGTTAACAGCAGTCAGCCTACGTGGCTGGAAAATATGTAATTCATTTATCTAGAAAGCCCAGAAAGCTTTCTAGCAAGAACATGTATTCAGAACACAGGCAAGCATGACTGTTTCTCTCACGAAGACAAACTTAAACTTATACAAGGATCCTGGACTACCTTCCTGAGTGCCTACACATGCCCAAGTATAGTTTCTGCATAGCTCATTAAAAAGCAGGATAAAATGGGCTAGACAACTTTACTACCATTTAAAAACAAAGAAACAAACCCCCACACCTTTAACTCTTATGCCTGAATTAAGAATTTTTTCATATTAAAATTACACCATAAGCCCACTCACATCATCTCACTTTTACTAAGAATGGTTCACATTTAAGAGTCCTATCTTAACAGTATCTTAACATTTTTTTGTCCCTGGAGCAAAGGAAGGTAGTAATTACAGTAGTAATCCCATAACTCGATGCTCCATCAAGAGGGATGCCAATATCATTTAAGCAATGACTCCAGACTTTTCCACACTATTACAATGCCAAACTTTCTAAGGCAGAAAATACAATTCTATCTTGCAGATCTCTGGATTTCCACTGAGCTCAGCAGAAATCAAACTCATCCTCTAAGGCAGGATTGCAAAACAATCACGTCTCAGAGATGGAAAATCCAGCACGCTGACTAAACATCTGATATTCAAAGTTCAATCTCTGTTGTTGTTTTTTTCTTCGGTGAACTTTGGATCCACACCTAAATAGATTTAAAAAAAAAATTGGTTTGGAAATTCACTGAAAACAATACCTAATTGGTGTAGCGATACTTACAGGAGTTGCCGAACCAAGTAGATTTAAATTAGAGGTAATGTGGAGGGCAGTTCCAGTAGCATAACAGTCAGGAACTACAAGAAGTTTAGATCATGGCTAAAGCATACAAACGACATCACTGGTGTAAAGTTTTGGTTTCCGATACCACTAGCAGACCATCAGAATATCACACCTCATAAAGCACAACCATTCCAACAAGCGGAAGAGGCAGAACTTGCTGACAGATCTATTTTGCCTGTTCAGCACAAAACTAACACAATGACTAACTCAGTGTTGGCTCCGATGTAACAGAGGGGGAATAAGTGTATTTTCTAGAAGCTCTTCTGTTGCTTTGCTTACTGGCATGTGTTTAAAATGGACGAAAAATGCCTCTGATTCAATTCTACTTAGGGTAAAATCCTCGGGACATGCAGCACAGTCTCACACAATGAAAAACGCATCAGCTTTTCTGAACGTTACAGATCCTGGTAGACCAGAACATTCAGCCTACTGGAACACCGCAGACAGAGCACAGCGATGTAGTAAACTCTAGAACCCCTGTTCTGCTTTAACTCCTTCCCGTCCTGCGAGAGCCGCCTGCCCCGTGCCTCCGAGGAGGACCAGGACACGCACAAACCGGATCCTGTCCCGACAAGCACTCGGGAGCATCTCCGTAAGGTTTCAAGGAAAAAAACCGGCCACCTGTCTGCAGGAGGGCGTTCGGATCATGACGGAATACGGATTCCGCGGGTGGCAGATGTATGTTTTTGTTCTGCGAGACCTTCCCTGCTCTGGTCAGAGAAACCGGGGGGTTCCGCCAGCCCCGGGGCGAAAGCCTCCGGCCGGGACACTCACCCGGCGGCAGAAAGAGGGAGCCCCTTACGACTCCTTCCTTCAGCCGGATCCTCCGCACGCCGGGGGCCGTGAACCACCTCTCCACCTCGGTCTTAGTCACCACGGGCCCGGGCATGGCACCCGGCGGGCTGTGGCCCTGGTGCACCGACACCTCCACCTTCATCGGGGCATCGGTGCTGCGGGGAACGAGCCGCTGGTACGGCCGCTCCATGGCGGCGGGGGAGAGGCTCCAGAAGAGCCCCATGGGCTCCACGCCGGTGTAGTCCCCGCCCTGGGAGGCGTCCGTGCCCAGGTGCAGCTCCCCGCGGCTGTCCGCTCGATAGTGCGCGCACGACTGGAAGAGGCAGCCGCGGTCACCGGCCGCCAGGGCCCGCAGAGTCACCGGCTGCCCGGGGCTCAGCCCCGTCACCCGCGTCTCCACCCGCTCGTCGGCCGGGCCGGCGGCGGGGGACACGGCCAGGCTGGCCGCCCGCTGGGGCGGCCGGGCGCGCAGCAGGGCCCGTGCCGGGGCGGCGGCAGCGGCGGCGAGCGCTCTCCACATGGCGGCGGCGGAGGCTGCGCGGGGCCGCCGCGCCGCCCGCAATATCGGTACCGCGGCCGCCGCCCCCTCCAGGCGGCCCCAATCGAGAGCAGAGCCCCTCCCCGCCCCCGGGAAAGGCCGTCAGCCTCGGGGCGCTCCCACCTCTCCCAAACCATCCAACCGACAGGAGCAGCGAGCCCGGGAAAGGCCGCCAGCCCCGGGCCGCTCCCGCCTCCACCAAGCCGTCCAACCGAATGAAGAAGCGATCTGTGGGCAGCGGCTAAGGTTTCACTTTAATCTATTACAAACACAGGGAATGTAAAAGCCTGCCTGCCGCACGGGGAGCAGCCGAGGCTGGATGCGGCCCGCGCGGGCTGTCGGGCACTGAGGGGTACAACGCGTTGGGATACACGAGCGCGAACTCGCCGGACACATCCAGCCTTCCCCTTCAACCCCGCGCCTGGGTGCCCAACGTTACCGAGGATCCCCAGCGGGGCTGACAGCTCACCCGCCCGCCCCGGTGCTCAGAGAGGACTAGACATGCAACCAGAGTCCGGCTCCGGCACAGCACGGCAGCCGCCCCATCGCCCCTTCCAGCCCGCCTCCGCCCGCACAGCACCCCGCGCCTCACGGAGCCGCCGAGCCAGCCCCGCAGCCGGACTATTTCCAGTAACTTTTGCAAGCAGGCGCTAAGAGAATGTACAGGCAGGGAGACGCTACCCATTAACAGCGCTGCGGACCTAGATCGGATACCCACAGCCCAGCTGAGGAGACCCCCGCTCCAGGATGACTTCCAATAGGGCCGGGTTTGTCGTTTTCTCATGCTTACAGACGTTCAAAAACTGTTTAAATGTCTTATTTCTACTGCATGTGCCCAGAATGTCACATCAGGCTATGGGCTGTTGTTGCCTATGAATGGGAGATTTGCTACCTGAGGATGCAGACGCGGTATTACTGCTTTTCCTAAGTGAAATCTTAGATATTGTTAAGGCATTTTAGTGCTGTGAGAGAAGGGGAATGAGCAATAAAGGAGAGGGAAGTGCACAGGAAGAACAGAAAAAATACTGGAGGCAGGAAGAGAGAACTGCTGCTTCCAGAAAAATTAGAACACTGGAATGAGAACACAAAGCTGGCTCTGGTAAGGGCAATGGCATATATTTCCTCTGAGAAAGCCAAGGTACATTTTCACCCCAGTTCTCAGCTTGGGTAAGTTACCTTCCACTTAAACTGACATTCAAAGAACACCTAGCCTTACCACATTTGCCTTCCACAGCTTTTAATCCTATACTACACAGAACAGGAGGCCACAAACCTCTAACCAAGGTTAGAGGAGGGTGTAAAAACAAAGCAGCTTTCATGGTTTCGCCTGCTCTCATCTTTCAAGAAACCCAATAGCTTATTCTCTGATGTTCCTTGTTCTCATTCTGAACCATTTAACAAAGCAATCTTGAAACACCAGCATCTTCATCTGTAAAGTAACCTACTTCACATCACAGCTTACTGGATGTTCCAGATGGCTTGCCTGTGAGGTGTTTGTGGAAGAAAGCTTGGATCTGCTGCCAAGCATCTATCTGTGCCTCACAGTGTGCCTTGGGCTCCCCTCCCCACTCCACAGGTTTGCCAACTAGCAGGTGCATCGAGGCTGCACACATTGGGAAAAAGGGAGGTTCAATGTAGTGCCCTGCTCTAGGATAACAGACTATCTCAGGCTTTTCCTTCCCATGAGCTTGCAAACGTTTGCTCCCCTCAACTGCAAAGAATTCGCTTTTCCAGTTGCGGTCATCCTGGCCAACAATGAATAAGAAGCGACACTCGGCCTTCTCTAAAGGGATAAAGCTTTGCTGGTCAGGCCCTTCTAGTGGGTTGCCCAATGCATCCAAAATATCAGCAATCCCGGACTTGCCGACCTTGATGCGTTTCAAATTGAAACTAAGAGGTGGAATGATGATGTCCTTGTAGCGGAGCACTGCACCCACATTTGCCACTGAACCGTTGATAAGGGCAGTGGCTGTGATGCCCTTTAGGAAGGAGGCCATGGAGGTGCACAGGTCACCACCCTTCGAGATTCCAAGCAACCCAATTCCTGGACCTTTAACCTGGAGGTGAGAGAAGAGAAACCACAAGCAATGAACCATAGCGTGCCACTTCTTCAAGATGTTGCCACGTTTGCAGCCATGTCTGTCCCAGATTTGGACCCCAAGTACAGGCATCTAAGGTCCTGTGCACAGGGCCCACATCTGAGGGACCCTGGGCACTGCTCCATGCTTGATTTATGGTCCTAAGCCCTGCCAGGACTGCAGCATCATCCTAGCAAAGCTACTTTGCAGATGTGCAGCCCCAAAGTCACTTTGCCTATAAGGCAGCTGAGGGAAGAAGAGGGAAGGAGAAGGGAAGACTTCTTCTACAAATGGTTTCTTTCAGTGAAAACTGCTCAAAGTCAGCAGTGACTAAGATACTGTCATCACTTATGATAACGTATTTTTTATACTCAACCACTGTCTTTGGTTTCCTTATTAAGAAGATAACATGGTGTGGCAGCCACATCAGCTGCTCTCCCACTTCTCTAGTACACTTGGTATCTAACTCACAGGAAGCATTCTGAGGTAGCTTACTCATTAAAATGTATCTTAAAAAAAATAACCTATTAAACGCATTTTTCTAAGAGAATTGTCCAGTCCTCTGGAGTCCATCTAGAATAGGTTACCTTCATTTTCTTTTACACAAGGCAAATTAACTAGAATAGAAAAATTAAATGACCTTACAGGGTATTGAAAGCCTCTAAGGATAATGGAAGAAAGTTGGCTAATACCTCAACTGCTTCAACATCCGAAGACCCTTAGGGGCAAAAAGGCTCTGAGATAGCATTGAAATTTAGTATCTTTCATATCTTATCACCAGTGTAATATGCTTCAAACCACTGACTTTGAAACATGGGAAAGGAGAAATTAGAAAATATGGCTGAAACTTTGCAACCCATTAAAAACACAATGAGGGGCTCAGTGAAGATGTTAATGGAAGGCAGTGGTACTGCTCCCAGGGAAAAAAAAAAGGCAGGTGGAAGCAATTTCCAGATGTTTTTGGGCAGAGAAGTGGCACAAGCAGTTAAGGTTAAGGCATCTGAAAAGCAACCAAGACCTTTAACATTTACTCATCTTTCTGAGGTTGAGGAACTTATTTGTTTTCATTCTCCAGAGAAACTGCTTTGTGCAGTTCTAGCTATTGTCATGCACAGCTGCTTGCAAGGAGATGCAGAACCAAGCAGGTTCTCTTTAAAGAGGTGTTGACTTAGAAGAATCCCTAAGTGCACAACTAGCTACTAAAACTCACACTCACCAAATAACAACATTTGGAGTGATTCTAACAGTGTATAAAATACACAGCAACAAATGTGTACTGGTGGACTTCCTTGAGACTTGTATCACAGAAGGTTACCATGTGCTCCACAGCTGAAAAGGACATTAAGATCTGCAGGACATTCTACAGAGCATAAACCTAAAAGCCCTGCTGGAAGTCAAATAAGTCTCCAGGAAACTAGCACCCTAGTTATGACACTGGGTTGAATGGAGTAGAAATTACCAGTATGTGACCTATGTGTCAGTGTTTCTCCTGGCCACTTCAAAAGGAAGAATTGGAATAATCTGCCAGAGAGCCATTGTAATGGGAATTAAAGATATAAAAAAAATTAATCACAGCCAACTTAACAGCAATGCTATTTTAAATACAGCAGCCCTGCCCCATCTGCAGTCTGACAGGACCTAAATAATGATAGTTCACTGTAGTGAGTCAATGAACAAACCAACCTGGGTGTGTTGCAACATATAGTTTACAGCTTCTTCAAAATATTCCAGGTGGAATTCCTTCATCTCTTTGGGAAGATCTTCATAGGCGTAGTAAGCCAGAGCCAGCACAGCAAAGCCATAGTTGGCCAGCAGGCATGCCCTGTATTCAGGGAGTCCTCCTCCAGTTCCGTATAAGTCAATAATTCCTGGAAAGGGGCCATTTCCTGTGAGAGACCACATAACAGGAGACATTAACCCACAATTCTTAATTTATATGCCAATATCATAGGCCTGGGAACATGTCTTGATAAAAAAAGAAAAAAATCTAAAGCAGCAGAACGGCTGTGCTAGTTTTAATTAAATGGCTGCAATGCTTCAAGATTAAACAAGCCATCACAAATTAGCAGCCCTGCTAATGTTTTGGATAACATCAGGGAACGTGTGGCCTGATGAGGAGGGGTCTTTTGACAGTCACAACTAGTTCTCTGTATCATGTCAATGCACTGCAAAGGTATCAAGCTCTGCTTCAGTATCAAGCTCTTTTCAGAAAAGCCAGGAGGCTTTTCCTTGCTGCATTTCTCAGTATCCAAAAAATTCTCCTCTTCTGATGATTTCAGCTTCTCAGTTTCAGTGTAAATGTACTATGGCCATTTATTCTGGGATTAAGAGAAGTATTTGAAACCAACCTTGCTAACCCTGGTAAGAGAAGCTTTACATTAGGTTCATCAGGGGATAAACTCCAAAGCTGAGAGGGATTGCAGCAAACTGCTAAAAAAGTATGGAAAGGAGGAGGACATTCCTGCTCAGGAGGGAAGGTGGGGCTTCCCTCAGGTGTCTGCAGACTAACATGGAGAACATGGGCAGCAAGCAAGAAGAACTGGAAATTCATCTCCAGCCTCAAGGCTACAGCACAGTCAGAGCCCAGGACACTGGCTAGGACAGCACGTATGATTTTAGTGCTATCATGGAGATGCTGCCAGGGACAGACAGGGAAGACAGGGGAAGGCACATGATATGTAGAGATGCTCTTTGAGTACATGGGGTTCCAGAGGCATGCTCTGTGAAAGCCTCTGGATCACAGGAGAAAGGAGAGCTGGGATGTGGCAGTGGTGCAGCTGCTGCAAACCACTCAACCAAGGGTTGAGCAAACCTGTCTAATGCTTTCCCTAATCTTCTGCTCACAAACAAGGAAGAACTGGGGACAAATGTGGCAGCAAAAGGCAGCTTGGATTGCCTTGGGCTACAGCAACTAGGATTTCAGGATCTGTGGAGAGGCTTGAAAGGGAAGCAGCAGCCTTAAACTCTATAGTTTGGGAGAGCAACCTTCTACTTACTCAAAGAATTACTAGGTGAATTCCCTGGAAAACAGCCAGGTAGAGGAAAGGTATCTTGAAGACTGGCTGACACCATCTCCCACAGCATTTGGGAACAAGAAGGGTATTATGATAAATGCCTTCATGTCCAGTAAGAATCAATTAAATAAACTCACATGTGCTTCAGCACATATAGCTGCTCTACGTGAGCAGTGTGCCCAGCAGACCAAAGAGGGTTGGGCTGATCAGACTGCTCCTTGAGAAGTGTCCAGTGCCAGCTGGCGAGGTGAGGCTCCCCCTTGTCCTCAAGGGAAGCCTGGACGGGGTCAGGCTCTGGGCCTGGGAGCGCGGGGCCAAAAGCAGAGCAACACCCGTGGGAGAAGGAGCCCGGCACGGCCGGTACTCACCGGGGGGCAGAAAAAGCGTCGCCCGGATCCTCCCCTCTCGCACCGGGACTCTCCGCACCCCGTCCCGCAGGAACGCCCGCTCGTGCTGCGCCTGGGCCAGGAGCCGCCCGGGAGGCTTCCCGTGGCCCTCCAACACCTCCAGCTGCAGGACGAAGGGGCTCTGCACGTCCCGTTTCACCAGCCGCCAGAAGGGCTTCTGGGGCTGCAAAGCCCAGAGCAGCCCCATGGGCTCCAGGCCGGAGAAGCTGCCTCCCGGCAGCGCCGGGCAGCGGGCGAGGTCCAGCACCCCGTCGTTCCCCGCCTGGTAGAGGGCACTGGCCTGGAAGAGCTCTCCCCTCTCGTCCCTCAAGGATGTCCTCAGTGTGACCTGCTGTCGCGGGCCGAGGCCCTGCACAGTGATGGCCAGCGGCTCATCGAAGAGGCTGCGGGTGGCGGGCGAGAAGTGGATGGAGGGGGACATGGAGGCAAGTCCATGGGCGGAGGCTGTCGCGAGGGTCCACGCGGGGCTGCGGCTCCGTGGGGCTGCAGGCGTGGGGCCGGGCCAGGGCAGTCGCCTCCGCCAGCCACGGGAGCTGGCCCGGCGCAGGGAGCGGACAATGATTTGCCACATTGTCCCGGGTAGTTCCGCCTCTGGGGGCGGATTCCGGGGCAGGTCCCCTCGGAACCGAGTCCGGAATCGATCCCGGAATGCCGCTGTAATGCTCCGCAGGGAGGAGCAGGGCGGCAGTCCCTCGCCCCGCCTGCCTGCTTCCCTGCCGCCTTGGCCGCCGACTCTTCCCCTCCTCTTCTGTCTTCCCCCCGCCGCCCTTCCGGCTGTGGGAGGGCTCTCTGCCAAACTCCATCGACTTCTTGAGACCCATCTTGGCTCCACAGAGCTCCTCGGTGTCCCCCCGAGCTCCCCCGGGCCGGGCGGTGTCTGCGGGAGGGGGGACGTGCGGGGCAGGACGGGCAGAAGTGTTGACGAGCCACCGAGCAGAATCGCAGTCGGGACTCACGGCCCGGGCAGCGAAGGGCCTGTGTGGGACCGGCCGCACAGAGATGGGGCAGCGCGGAGCTGCTGCCCGCCGGCAGCGACCCGAGTAGGGCCGAGCTGTGCTCTGCCGCTCAGCCGAGAGAGCGGAGCGCGGGCCAGCCCCAGCTGGGGCGGGGAGAAGCCACACCAGCACCCACCCGGCAGTGCTTCGCCTCTCCTTGCCGGTTCTGCCTCTGTGTTGGTTGTCCCAAGGCATGGGCAAGGTGGCTTATGTTTCCACCAGGCTCTGCTCAGCTGTAGAGCCAGGTGAATTGGGAAGGATGGTTAGGATCCTCAGTGGTGCAAGAGGGATGAGGAGTGAGTGCTTTCACAGACTCTTTAGGTAGGTCAGGAAATATCTGGCTCTTCTAGTAATGGATTTTGCAAGACTTTAAAAAAGAAGGCCATTCAATCCATCTTACCGAGAGCTGGATCTTCTGATCCAAAAGCAACTGCAGAGGGACAGCTGTTTCCTTAGGCTCCCAGACTCTTCCTGTAGATGCAGGCAGGGGTGCCTCACACTCTGAACTCCTCATGTCTGACTTAGTGGTGTGAAACAAGTGGAAGCATCTGAGGGAATCCTGAGCATTGTCCTTTTTGGAAATACTAAGTGGTCAGAGGTATTGGACAGAGTCTCAGCAGTCTTTCCTTTCCTGTGGAGATTACCCATTCTCTCCTAAACAGATAGGTACTTTGTCATCTGGCATTTGGTCATGCTGTATGGTGTCTGGCCCTCAATGTGTGGCAACTACTCCTGTCGTTGAGAAGAGCAGTCCTTGGTTTACAATAGTGGATTTGATCACCAGCTTGACCACAGGCTGGAGCAGATATTAAGGGAAAAGGTCCTGGAAGTTTCAGCAACATTCCTTCTCCTCTATGCTTGGTGACACAAGAGTGGAAGAGTGAAGGTAAGAGGGCTATCTTCTATGGTGTGCTGTTCCTACCTGGGCAGCCCTTGATCCCAAGCTTCTACAATCTCAAGGTTTCACCCTGGGATGAGAGAGTGGTCAAGCTGCAAACCCTGCTTCTAACCAAAGCAGAACAAATGAGTCCATGGCTTTCAAATCTCAGTCCTTTATTACAATTCTCAAACCAATAACAAAGATTAAAATGTTCCACATCATGTGGGAGAAGATCACAATGACTATAAATTCAGCAGGAAGTTTTTTATGTTACATCTTGAGGCCAGAAATATCCACTAGCCAGAACACAACATTCTGAAGGGAAGATGGAAAGAAGGTGCAGAAAGCAAATGACCTTCCCCAAGGGTAAACCAGAGACAGTCCAGCATCCTGGCTATAGCATCCATTTTTACACAATCCCAGCAGCACAGAGGTCAGAGACGTTTCCATTTGAAATGAGACTTTCACCATAATAACAGTGAAATCCCTGCTCCAGAATTGTCATTTGGGAGGTGTGGCTTTCAAGTGTGAGCTGGGGATAGCGTGTACATGTAGAGACCACAGTGATATGGAAAGTATTGTCAAGAATGCATTAGGAGAATAGAAACCCCCCAAGAAACATAACAGTGCATTTGGCACATGAGGTGTTTTATAAAAGGCCAAAAATGCCATGCATTTTCTTGGCATTTGAACAAAAAGGTTCCAGGAAGAAGAGAAAAGGCAGACCCATTTCTTTTCTGGGTTCTGGATGTGTAAAGTCATGGAAGATACAGTAGTTGTACTGGTAAATCTGAGACAAGCTGTTAGATTGATAACTGTAACAGAATTTATCAGATCTGGTTGTTCAAAGTTGTGTGTTGCTTGCACATCACTTGTTGCACATTACTTGTCATTTAAATATTTCTGTAAAAAAGCCCAGATCTGTTGGATCATCATCCCTGATGATCCAACAGCTCAAAGGACCACAGGGTAGTACACCCTGCTCCTTGTGGATAAAGCTTCAGAAGGCTTTAATGACGGAATATCCCTCACCTTCTGACTGCTATGATAAAATAGCATTGAGGAAAAGCATATCAGAGGTTGGTCTATTTATGGGAACTGGCCACACAGCCAGGCACGTGTTCATGTAATTTGATAGGTCCTTAAATGAGACTTTTTTCACCCAGCACAAAAAAAAACCCACGTATTAGAGAGTGCCCCATTTGCCTTGAAAGGACCAGTAATTTCATTGCTAGGGGCTGCTGTGGGAAAACCAGTAGGGGAGGTTATTTTATCACTAAGACACCTTGCAGACTGAAGAAGATGCAAGTGAGCCTGAAGCATTTCAAAGGCAGCAGATCATGTTTGCCTGAGGACATCTTGCTACACTGTTTGATAAGGGCAGGCTCATGTAGGTGATGTAATTGCTGGAACTGCCTGCAAGCTCCACTTCTAGGAAGAGTTAGACAAGTTTTTTCTGTGACCAAGAGATCTTTACAACACAGCATAGACGTGAAGGCCTATGCATCATGGCACAGCACAGGTACACAGAATGCTGACTATCACCAAATCTGCCCGTGAATAATAAGAGTACTTCCCGCAATAGAGCAGGCTGCTTTAAAATGCTGTGAAAATACAAAGGTGATTTACAGACTGCAAGAAAGGTCACTAGGTTCCTGAAGTTACCTAGGGTGTAGTAACATGCTTGGTGAAAGGAAAAAGAATAACTTTTTCCCTTTTCTAGTCACTCAGCCATGCAGAATTGCTCCTACAGTAGATACCCATTTTAATCAGAACGTTTCCCTACCCATACCATAGCCCTTCTGCCCCCAGATGAGATGCAGGGACCTGGACTACTGATTCACTCTAGCAGGTGTAAGGCAAGACCAAGACAGAACACTTCCTAAACAAATGTATGTTTATTTCATTAAAAAATAAGAGTTACACTTGTACCAGAGGTTTCTTTGTAGTCAGAATGCCCTTCTCAAACAGGAGTGTGGCTAGAGAAATCTTTTCCTCCAAGGTTTCACATGGAAGGTTACCCACACTGACGTGATTTGGATAGGAAGACAGCAGAAATTCGATACTGTCTATATACTCGGGATCTAGCTCAAGGAACTTGGGTTCTTCTTTGTGATACACTCTTGAGTTTTCTGTTGTGTAATACAGCATCACACCTGCTTCTTCATTACATAATCTAACAATACCGTGGCAGAGGAGGCGTATTTCGGTGTCTTTTGTTATCTCTATATCAACATCGTGAGGGCCTCCATCTTGCCACCGGGCTGGGAAGCCGTAGATACTCCGCGCCTTTTCACTCTGTGTAAGCACAGGGGGCAGACAGTCATGAAGAAACGACTTGCCCATCTGATCCACAGCAGCATCAATGGGTGCATAGTCAACGAGCCTCTTTATCAGGCTCTTAACCTTCTCCATAAAGGCTGTTCGCCGAGCATCAACTGCGTCTGAGTTGGCAACCCCCATGTATCCCAGGTAGTCCATGGGAAGCCCTCGCCGGTACTCCACATCCTCCTCCAGGGCCATCTGCAGGGCAGCTGGGAGGAGCTTCTCCAGAAGGTCTCCCCAGGAATTCCTCTGGTAGGAAGACACAGTGATGTGGAGCGAGTGTGAGTCAGGAAAACAGTCACCCTGGTGGATAAAGCCACGGGGGAAGTACAGCAGGTCCCCGGCCTCAAGCACTGTCTCCAGCACAGGCTCGCCGAGCTCAGCCTGTGTGAGGTTTGCACTGGGCAACTGGGGCAGCACCTCGGCATCCGTCCGGGGCCTGTAGACACGCCAGTGCTTCTTCCCCTCCAGCTGCAGCACAAAGGCCTCGATGTCATCGTAGTGGGGGGCAAAGCCCTGTGTCCCCGGTGGCGTGAGGTATGTGTTGGCCCCCACCATACTGCCAAATTGCTCCTGCAGGATGGAGAGGAAGTGCCAGACGGTGGGGGAGAAAGCCTGTGGGCAGAGGAGCCGCAGGGAGCAGCCGTTCTGGTAGAAGTCCCACACGACGGCAGGCAGGGCCCGGCCGGACGGGTTGTGCGTCTCCCGCACGCCCTCGGCGTAGCTGGTCACGTCCAGGTGGGTGCCGAAGTGCACTTCTCCGCCCCGCAGGGCGGCGTCCAAGTCGGCCGTGGAGAAGAGCCCCGCGTAGTAGCCGGGGTCGCCTCGCCGCACCAGCAGCGGCGCCCGCTCCCAGTGCTGCCGCAGGAACTCGCTCGGCGCCACCGGGGCCAGCAGCCAGCGGAACAGCTCTGCCGCCCGCTGCCGGCTGTCCTCCACCCGCCCCAGCCGCCGCAGCAGCCCCGACACGCCGCCGCCGCCGTCCTCCCCCGCCGCCCGCGGGCCGGCCGGGATGGCCGCGGGGCCGTCCGGCGGCTTCTCTTCAGGCACGGCGACCGCCCCCCCGGGCCGGGGCTCCACGCGGAGCTCCGCCGGCCCGGAGCCGGGAGTCGCCGCCGGCTGCGGCGGGGCCTCCGGCTCCGGGCCGCCGCCTCCCGCTCGGCCGCGCCTCGGCCGGGCCTTGGCCCGCTTGCGGCCCCCGGGCAGAGGCGCCCCGCGGCGGCGCCGCTCCAGCCGCCCGGCCCCCTCCACCCGGCGGTACACGGCGAGCGCCGAGAGCCGCCCCAGCTCCCGCTGCTGCGCCGGCATGGCCGCCTCGACTCCGCCCAGCCCCGCCGCTTCCGCCGGGAGCGCCCCGGGCACGGGGTGTGGCGGGGCTCGGAGCCAGCA